GCGTATTGACCTAGAAGAAGGTCGACAGAGGGGTCCCTCGAGACCTCCTCCCCTCCCTGAGTGCCCTCAACCTCCATCTCCTGGGGGTGGGCCGTCCCTGAGTCAGACTCATCTGCGGACAACGGAGATGGGACCACTGGCAACGGTGCTGTGTGGCGAGATCGAGCTGGCACGACCGTCGAGTAAGTGGCCCTAGTCGAGGTAGGGTCTGGCGAGATTGGCGAGGCATCACCGCCAAAGGACGATGAGCCAGCGACCGATGGTGGTATTGCTGGTGGTGCGGAGCCCGAGTCCCCCCCACGACAGCTCCTAGGAACCGCCCCGGGGGGCCTCGCGCCCCGACCTCTCGGTGGGAGGTCGGACATGGTTTGCTAATGCAGTGTGAACGTTCAGGCGGGGTGGTCTGACTGTAAGATAACATGGTGGACGATGTGCGAGACGATGAGCTGGTTGTTTGCGCATGTTTACAAGTGGGCGTTCGAGAGAAAGAGGCGTTCCGCTGTTGCGATAGCATCATCTAAAGCTTCAACGCCTTCCTTGGTTGCCGGGGCTGCGACAGGAATAGCCGCAAGATCCCGCAGAATATCTGAAATGAAAGACTTTTCAGCCTCGCTTCCAGGTTTAATTGTCCTTCGCCCAGATCCGGGCAGTTCGGGACCGATATCAAGATCTGCACAGATTGGCACATGATCTGACGGACCCTAGAGATCGTGCTCCAATCTGGGCATCGAGATTAGAATCTCAGATGGAGCTAAGAATACAAGATCCAAGACATTGGATCTCTGGTTTGGATTAGGACTGATCCTCGTCGGTCCATGGTTGGAAGGTCGTGCCCACTCGAGGCCGATCTGAGATGCAGAGTCCCGCAGGGATATTGCCGTCGACGACTCGCCATGCTCATAGTCATCCCAAGTCGTCGACACGCAGTTGAAGTCACCAGCCATATAGATGAAAGGTGGTAGAGAATGCACACGAGCAGCGAGGTGCTCAATGGCTGTGTGATCGTCAGAATAGACATTTAAGAACCTCGCCCCCGCTAAAGAGGGAGAGGACAACGATGTCGTGATGGTTGACAATGTCGCAACGCATAGCAGGACGATAGCAGGAGAGCCTAGTTGAAACGTAGGCGATCACATGGGGAACTTCCCCTTCCTTAATGCGCACCATTTGCAGCCAGTCGGGATGCTTTGGTGCGCCGATAACCTCATCACCCTCCATACTAGTGGTAGATGGTACATGTCTTATGAAATTCCAAGGTGTTTCTTGGAAAAATAGAATATCAAATCTGTTTTTACAAATTTTGAGAAGGGTGTCTATGTGTGCATAGGTATGACGAACGTTCTGACAGTAAATACGAAGCCCACTACTTAGATCCTGATGGTTTCCCAACATTAGTCTAGGTTTGGGGGTTAGTAAGTCGGTGGTGAGCAAGGTGCTCACGTACCTGACGATACTCGGCCATGATCCACTCACGGTCGTAGCAATGGGCCCAGAACTTGCACAAGGCCGAATTGGCAGCATGGTCCTTATGGCAATTGATGCAGTGGCCCTTATGGGGGCAGGGCTGGTCACGAGGGGTGGGCGGCACAGGGGTTCGTCATTGCCCTTGCACACGCATGTGTGACCTGGTGCTCCTTCTGCTCGTGTGGGCCCGAACAGATAGGGCAAGAGAGTTGTTTCGCCTTGCAGGCGATGGTGGGGTGGCCCCACTTCCAGCAGCGCTGGCATAGCGGAACCCCGGTGTGTCGTGCGGCAGGCCTGATTGCGCAGGACCACCCAGCGAGGAAGATTGGTTGGCCTAAGGCCTTCTTGGCGTGGGTTCCCTGCTGGGAGTCCCAAATGTTGCAGTAGACGGTGCACGATGTGGAGTGTGCTGAGTTGCGGTCGATCCGAGGCTTGGTGCTCAGATAAGCGAAGACCTCAGCATGAACCGAGGTACGGAGGGCCTTTTCAAGTGCCTCCTGGGTGATCTTCAACCCTTTCAGATCGAAGTAAGGAACATCGAGTATCTTTATAAAAGATGTCGACGATGGAAGTGCGACCTCAAACGGGGTACCCATCAGGAGGCTTTCACGGATGAAGTTGCGCAGTATGTCCAGGTTGGACGGGCTGGCAACAGCAGGGGTGACCAACAACAAGCCGTCGTAGGCGCAGACGATGGAGGTGACCTTTAACATAGATCGCCCATCCCTGAGATATCCGTTGGCTGTGCAAACAGCTGACTTGGTGAAGAATTTCGTGAGGTCGGGAGGGGTACCCCCGAACGACACGAGAACTTGCTTCCGGGTGGGGCCCTTGGAAGTGAAAGAAGGAACGGACCGATGAGGCGAAGTCTTCATTGGGCCCATCGGGAATGCGGGAGGGGGAGGAGAAGGCCCATGACGCTGCGGTCCCAAGCCAGGAGGCGGGGGAAGCATCGGAGCGGCCTGTCGTGCGATCCCTGCCCACATCGTTGGACGGGGCTTGGGTTTGGTAGCGCGGTTGATCAGCAGAGGCAGACCAGGGCGTGAGTAGGCCACCTTGCTCTTCTTCTGCGGAGGAGGTGGAACCGGACGATTGACACCCTTATGCTTCTTGGAAGCAGGGATGCGAGAAGGGGAGGCCAGGTGACCAAGGTCGTCCAGTGCCTGCATGAGGACGTCGGGCGGGGCCCCTACACCAGCGACACCCTCGTTGAGCGGCCCACAGGCAGCAGGAGGAGGAGGCCTGAAAACAGGAGCTGGGTGAATGGTCGGCTTGTCCTTGGAAGATGTCTCGGCCTCAAGGAGAGAGGCGAGCGAGAAGTTGTTGAGTTCACCTGGTCCATGAATACGACTAAAGTCAGTGGCCATGACGGCGTTCACGAAGGACGTCATCTGGGCCATGAAGGCATCGCCCCCATTGATGGTGAGCGGATTGTGGTGCGCAGCCTGCAGAACCCAGTCTGTGGCCTTCGCAATGGAGGTGGTCAATACCTCGAGATCGCCAGGAAGATCCTCGACTGTGTCTCGGAACTTCAAGGCGTATTGACCTAGAAGAAGGTCGACGGAGGGGTCCCTCAAGACCTCCTCCCCTCCCTGAGTGCCCTCAACCTCCATCTCCTGGGGGTGGGCCGTCCCTGAGTCGGACTCATCTGCGGATGAATGGGCTCAAGCAGATCATTCCAGCGACCGTAATTTTGACCGCTATTTTCAAATTCTCAAGGTCGTGGAAACCAAGACACCAATTTCTCTTCATACTCTATTAAGATGCAAGTAATTTTAGCAAATAAACTCTAAGAATTTTTTTGAAAAATCTCACCAATAACTTCTCCATCTTCAAGTTCATCATTCTCATTAAGGATTGGTGTTGTTAACAGAGTATAAGCAACACAAAGAATGTTCTCCTCTTCATGCATCAGATTATCGTCGATGTACTCCAGCTTTGATTCCATGGTATATGCATGAAAGTTGGTACCATCGTCTGATAATCCTGATGGTCCCAAAAGAACATGGTCAAATGAAGCATAAGGTGTCCCAACTCTCCAGAGATAACCACCTCTCATAAGAGCAGCTTGACCACTATATGGCTTGGACATAATTTCAGCACAGAGACTGAGGTAAGAGTTGAAGTCGGCTTTAGCAAAGGTGTGATTGAGTTGATATGGGTACTTGAAACGAGGATAATAACAATTAGGATGCTGACAAAGAGTCTCCTTCAATTGCAAAGTACGGAAGGGAATGCCATGATTGAGAAGAAAGTGAACGATGTCCTTGTCGCGTTCTCGGATGTGTGGCTTGCCTATTCAACCGAGTCCAAACCTACCAAGCGCTCCAAGTCCTGGTGGACGGACGAGTGCTCGGAGACATTCGGAGTATATCAGTTGAGCTGCTCGCTCGCTGATTACAACAAGTTTAAGAAGGCGTGTAAAGGCGCCAAGCGTGATTTCTTTGATGAACGCATCGCAGAAATCACTACCTCTCGCAAGCGCCCATGGGACCTAATGGAATGGGTCAAACAGCGCAAGCTACCACCCTGTGAGGCTATTCGCAACGGTGATCAGCCTTGCCACGATATGGACGACCTCTGGGACGCCCTGCACGGCACGTACAACTCGGCCTCTGGTCATGAGTACGATGCCTCAGTCTTAGACGAGCTTCCCGACGAGCTGGTCCATGAGTGGGCTGACTTCTTGGAGCATGAGTTGTTGAGTGCCCTTAAGGGGTGCTCCAACTCCTCTGCACCAGGACCAGACCATGTTACATGGGTCCACCTAAAGGAGCTGCTTAAGGATAAACACGTCCTTGCGCTCTTTATCGTGCTGGCTAACGCCTGCCTTCGGGATGTATATTCAAGGAGTCGCTATTGGTTATCGTTCCGAAACCGAATAAGCCCTCCTATGCCGTACTGAAGGCCTTCAGGCCAATCGTACTCCTCATCACTTTCAGTAAACTTATCGAAAAGATGATTGCCAACAGGATACAGTTTGACGCCGTCAAGCATGATATCTTCCATCCCAACCAACTTGGCGGTATCCGCCAGAGGTCCACTGAGGATGCTGGATTGATTCTGACTCATCTCATGCGAGCGGGGTGGGTTAAGGGTCTCCAGACTAGCGCGCTGGCTTTTGACATTGCGCAGTTCTTCCCTTCTATCAACCATGGGATGTTCATGGCTGTACTTCGCAAGCAAGGGTTCTCGCCAGTTTTGGTGGAGTTCTTTGCCTCTTATCTTGTTGGTTGTTCCACAGTCTACTGTTGGAACACCTTCCAATCTGACTCGCGGTCTGCGGATGTGGGTGTCAGGCAGGGCTCAGCCCTTTCACCTGTTATCTCTGGGCTATTCATCGCTCCGGTGATGAAGCTCTTCTATATCAAAGCGGAGCCGCTCAACACAACGCTGCTTTCCTTTGTGGATGATGGGACCATTCTGGCCCAATCCAAACAACTCAATGATAATAATGTGGGTCTGCGTAAGGCCTACAAAATTATCTACCTTCTCTTTGTTGCTTTCGCACTCGTTCTTGAACATGACAAGACCAAGTTGTTCCACTTTTCGCGTCGACGAGATGCCTATAATCCCTCGCTGGATTTGGGATACGCCCCACATACCGGCACTACGCCTTTGAAGCCCAAGACCTATTGGAGGTACTTGGGATTCTACTTTGACTGCAGGCTTACGTTTCATGAGCACGTCCGCTACTATGCCACCAAGGCGTTCACCACCGTGCAGGCCATGCGCATGCTCAGGAACTCTACCAGAGGTCTCTCGCCTAAACAGCATTGCCTCTTATATCGGTCGTGTGTGGTTCCCATTGCCGCATATGGTTATCGTCTCTGGTATTTCGACGGCGCCCATAATAAGGGCGCAATGAACCAGCTAAAACAGATGCAGTGAAAAGCTGCTCTATGGATTACTGGTGCCTTCCGCACCTCACCCACAGGCGGTCTTGAGGCCCTCGCTGGCCTCATCCCCGTTCATCTCATGCTGAAGAAGCTGGCGACGCGCGCAGTGTATCGCGTCACTACCCTCTCAGACACTCACCCTCTTCGCTCCATGATAGGCGAGGGACTCCTTAAGCGAGCTGCACCACATGCCCGCTCAGCTGCCTTGATGACCCCAGCCATGCGAGGGAAAGTCATGAGCACCATTATGGAGGTGGACGAGCGTGTCCACACCTTAACTGAGAGCTTTGAGCCCTTTGCGCCTGAAGCTCGCCCAGGTGATCGGTTACTGGACCACTTTGCGGACCGTCTCCACTTTGACAAGCGTGATCCTGCCCAGGATAGGCGCCCATATGTAGACGGGCTCATTGCGAAAGTGAGGGCCAACCCACTAACAGTACTGGCTGCAATTGATGGCGCTGTCCCTCAGTCCAACCAATATCAGGTGGCTTCGGCAGCCATCATCTACAAGGGACATTGCGAGCTTGAAAGGACTTGTTATGTCTCTGGCAGGGTCACCACCCCAGATGCGGAACTCAATGCCATCTCGTGTGCAGTGCGCCTTGCTGTTAAGCAGGCGAACTGCCAACATATTATGGTCTTTACTGACTCTATAGGCCAAGCCCATAGAGCAGTCGACCCTTCTGTGCACTCTGGTCAGGCTTTTAGCTTGTCAGTTTGTCGCGCTCTCCAGGAGTGGTTCGAGGCGGATGATCTCCGCCGCATCACCTTTATCTATGTTCTGTCCGCGTTGCGGTGGGATATCCATGGTGAGGCACACAAGTACATCACTGAACTCAAAGTCAGGGTTGGACGTCACAAGATGGACAACTCTATAGACGCGCTTCGCTCTCGAGCTGCGCACTCAGTCCTGGATTTGTGGAGTTCCACTTTCCAGGATCCAACTTATCGAGGCTCTGAATTCTTAGAGCTTCAACAGCCTGACGGGCGGCCGCTACAGCCATTGTACCTCAATGGGGGACCTTGGCTTTCAACCTTCAGACACAGTATCACTGAGTTCGCTCACATTTGCCAGTGCATAACTGGACACGTGCCCATTGGAGCGTATTACCGTCACTTCAAGATTAACAAGCCTCATGGCTGCACTTGTGGGGCTGCTTTGCAGTCCCGCCAGCATGTCCTCTTTCACTGTCGCGATCGCTACTCCATGCATTACCCCCACTTTCTTGGGGATATTGCATCTTTTATGAAGTACAACCCCACGGCGTTTGGCTTCTCCCGAGACCCTTCGGGGGTCGGATAATCACTGCGGGCGGGGTTATTGCTCCTTTTGGAGGATTTATTGGTGAATTGACACCCTCGAACCTTAGGGTTCGGAGACCTGCGACCGTAACTATTTCTTCACGCTTGCGGCCTGCTATTATAGCAGGTTGCGGCACCACTAACTCTCTGTGTCTGGTCTCGGGCAGGTGCATCTTTGGCTTGTTGGCCTCAAGACACCCTGCCACCTCCCGGGTGGTGCTGTTTTTCTTTCATTCGCGCTGTGTGGCCTCCGAACAGCGATTGACGACTTTGGCGCATAGTGGAACCTCGATGGTTTCCTCCCCTTATCCCGATGCACCGTTTTTGCGAGGTGGGTTGCCCTCTGGGGAGTTTCGGTGTTTGAGCCCAAAGGGTCTTGGTTGGGGGGGTGGTCGTCTTTAAGTAGTTAACTTAGTACCCAGGCTGTGCAGTGTGCGTGTTTTTTTTATCTTTTGATCAACAATTTATATAGCAGTGCTCGATGGCAGCCCGCTCGCTATCTACAAACACGTACACTACGCGGCCTGGGTACTAAGTGAACTACTAAAAGACATCCGCCCCCCCAACCACGAGCCTTATGGCTCAAACGCCTAAACTCCCATAAAGCCAGACCCACCTCGCGAAAACGGTGACGTGGGATAAGGGGAAGAGACCATTGAGGCCCCGCTAAACCCCAAAGTTGTCGGACGCTGTTCGGAGGCCACGCAGCGCAAATGAAATAAAACAGCACCACCCGGGAGGTGGCAAGGTGTCTTGAGGCCGACAAGCCAAAGATGCGCCTGCCCGAAACCAGACGCAGAAAGTTAGCAGCGTTGCAATCCGCTATAATAGCGGCCGCAAGCGCAAAGAAATAGCGGCAGGCGCAGGTCTTCGAACCCTAAGGCTCGGTGGTGTCAATTCACCATAAATCCCCCGAAAGGAGGAACAACCCCGCCCACAACGATTATCCGACACCCGAGGGGTCCCGGTTGAAGCCAAACGCTGTAGGGTTGTACTTCATAAAAGCTGCAATATCCCCGAGAAATCGGGGGTAGTGCACAGAGTAGCGATCGCGGCAGCGAAAGAGGACATGCTGGCGGGACTGCAAAGCAGCCCCGCAAGTGCAGCCATGAGGCTCGTTGATCTTGAAGCGACGGTAATACGCTCCAATGGGCGCGTGGCCAGTTATACACCGGCAAACGCGGGCGAGCTCTAGGAATTCAGAGCCTCGGTAGGTTGAATCCTGGAAAGTGGAGCTCCACGAATCCAGGACTGAGTGCGCCGCTCGAGAGCGTAGCGTGTCTATAGAGTTGTCCGTCTTTCGACGTCCAACCCTGACTTTGAGCTCGGTGACGTACTTGTGTGCTTCACCATGGATGTCCCACCGCAAAGCAGATGGAACGTAGACGAAGGTAATGCGGCAAAGGTCATCCGCCTCAAACCACTCTTGGAGAGCGCGACAAACTGACAAGCTAAAAGCCTGACCAGAATGCACGCCAGGGTCAACCGCTCTACGGGCTGAGCCTATAGAGTCAGTAAAGACCATAATATGCTGGCAGTTTACCTGCTTGACAGCAAGGCGCACTGCGCACAAGATGGCATTGAGTTCCGCATCTGGGGCGGTAACTCTGCCAGAGACATAACAAGTCCTTTCAAGCTCGCGATGTCCCTTGTAGATGATGGCAGCCGAAGCCGCCTGATACTGATTGGACTGAGGGACGGAGCCATCAGTCGCAGCCAGTACTGTTAGTGGGTCGGCCCTCGCTCTCGCGATGAGCTCATCTAGATATGGGCGCCTATCCTGGGTTGGATCACACTTGTCAAAATGGAGACGGTCCGCATAGCGGTCCAGTAACCGATCGCCTGGGCGAGCTTCGGGCGCAAAGGGCTCAAAGCTCTCAGTTAAGGTGTGGACGCGCTCGTCCACCTCCATGACAGTGCTCTTGACTTTCCCTCGCATAGCTGGGGTCATCAAGGCGGATGAGCGAGCATGTGGTGCGGCTCGCTTAAGGAGTCCCTCACCCATCATAGAGCGAAGGGGGTGGGTGTCCGAGAGGGTGGCAACGCGATACACTGCACGCATTGCCAGCTTCTTCAGCATAAGGTGGACGGGGATGAGACCTGCTAAGGCCTCAAGACCGCCCGTGGGTGAGGTGCAGAAAGCACCCGTAATCCATAGAGCAGCTTTTCGCTGCATCCGTTTTAACTGGTTCATCACGCCTTTATTATGGGCACCGTCAAAATACCAGAGACGATAGCCGTATGTGGCAATAGGAACCACACACAACTGATATCAGAGGCGGCGCTGTTTAGGCGAGAGACCTCTAGTAGAGTTCCCGAGCATGCGCATGGCTTGCACGGTGGTGAACGCCTTGGTGGCATAGTAGCGAACGTGCTCATGAAACGTGAGCCCGCGGTCGAAGTAGAAGCCCAAGTACCTCCAAAAGGTCTTGGGCTTCAAAGGTGTAGCGCCGGTATGTGGGGCGTATCCCAAATCCAGCGAGGGATTATAGGCATCTCGTCGACGCGAAAAGTGGAACAACTCGGTCTTGTCATGTTCAAGAACGAGTGCGAAAGCAACAAAGAGAAGGTAGATAATCTTGTAGGCCTTACGCAGACCCACATTATTATCATTGAGTTGTTTGGATTGGGCCAGAATGGTCCCATCATCCACAAAGGAAAGCAGCGTCATGTTGAGTGGCGCTGCTTTGATATAGAAGAGCTTCATTACCAGAGCAATGAACAGCCCAGAGATAACAGGCAAGAGAGCTGAGCCCTGCCTGACACCCACGTCCGCAGAATGTGAGTCGGATTGGAAGGTGTTCCAACAGTAAACTGTGGAACGTCCAACAAGGTAGGAGGCAAAGAATTCCACCAGAACCGGCGAGAACCCTTGCTTGCGAAGTACAGCCATGAACATCCCATGGTTGATAGAAGGGAAGAACTGCGCAATGTCAAAAGCCAGCGCGCTAGTCTGGAGACCCTTAACCCATCCCGCTCGCACGAGATGGGTTAGAATCAATCCAGCGTCCTCAGTTGACCTCTGGCAGATGCCGCCAAGTTGGTTGGGATGAAAGATATCATGCTTGATGGCGTCAAACTGTATCCTATTAGCGATCATCTTTTCGATATGTTTACCGAAGGTGATGAGGAGTACAATTGGCCTGAAGGCCTTTGGCACGGAATAGGAGGGCTTGTTCGGCTTCGGAACGATAACCGATAGAGACTCCTTGAAATATACGCGGCCAATGACCCACCCGAAGGCAAGCGTTAGCCAGCACGATGAAGAGCGCAAGGACGTGTTTATCCTTGAGCAGCTCCTTTAGGTGGACCCATGTGATATGGTCCGGTCCTGGTGCAGAGGAGTTGGAGCACCCCTTAAGGGCACTCAACAACTCGTGACCAGAGGCCGAGTTGTACGTGCCATGGAGGGCGTCCCAAAGGTCGTCCATATCATGGCAAGGCTGGTCGCCATTGCGAATGGCCTCACAGGGTGGTAGCTTGCACTGTTTGACCCATTCCATTAGGTCCCACGGGCGATTGCGAGAGGTAGCGATTTCCGCGATGCGTTCATCGAAGAAATCACGTTTGGCGTCTTTACACGCCTTCTTAAACTTGTTGTAATCAGCGAGTGAGCGGCTCAACTGATATACTCCGAATGTCTCCGAGCACTCGTCCGTCCACCAGGACTTGGAGCACTTGGTAGGTTTGGACTCGGTCGAGTGGGCAAGCCACGCGTCCGAGAACGCTGCCGCGATAGCATCAGCCAACGCTTCAACGCCTTCCTTGGTTGCTGGGGCTGCGACAGGAATAGCTGCAAGATCCCGGAGAATATCCGAAATGAAAGACTTCTCAGCCTCGCTTCCGGGTTTAATTGTCCGTTGCCCAGATCCGGGCAGTTCGGGACCAATATCAAGATCTGCACAGATCGGGACATGATCTGATGGACCCTGGAGATCGTGCTCCAATCTGGGCATCGAGATTAGAATCTCAGATGGAGCTAAGAATACAAGATCCAGAACATTGGATCTCTGGTTTGGATTAGGACTGATGCAGTGTGCGTGTTTGTAGATAGCGAGCGGCCTGCCATCGAGCACCGCTATATAAATTGTTGATCAAAAAAAAAAAAAAAAAAAACAATGTCCTTGTCTTTGAAACCTTGATCAAGTCGACAGATAACGAGAACAGTGGAGGCAGAATATACAGCTATGTTCCATGGCACTGTATGCTCTGATCCAAAATTGAACATATAGAGTGGACGTTGCTGAAGTTTGTTTTCGTTATTGACAAACTTGTAATAGGCCTTCACAACCAACTTAAGCCAAGGATGAGCAAGTAAAGACGCCCTCCAAGGGTGGTTTGAGGCGGATGATCTCCGCCGCATCACAACAGCCTCTTTCTCTCGAACACCCACTTGTCAACAAGTGCAAACACCCAGCTCACCGTCTCGCACATCGTCTAGCGCTTTATCGACAAGCCAGAAGACCCCTTTTGATCATTCGCACTGCATTCGCAAACCATGTCCGACCTTCCACCGAGAGGTCGGGGCGCGAGGCCCCCTGGGGCAGTTCCTAGGAGCCGTCATGGGGGGGACTCGGGCTCCGCCCCACCAGCAATACCACCATCGGTCGCTGGCTCATCGTCTTTTGGCGGTGATGCCTCACCAATCTCACCAGACCCTACCTCGACTAGGGCCACATACTCGACAGTTGTGCCAGCTCGATCTCACCACACGTTGCCCTGCCGCAGGTCCCGCTCCACCACGGGTTCCGCCCATTTGTCCGCAGATGAGTCTGACTCAGGGACGGCCCACCCCCAGGAGATGGAGGTTGAGGGCACTCAGGGAGGGGAGGAGGTCTTGAGGGACCCCTCCGTCGACCTTCTTCTAGGTCAATACGCCTTGAAGTTCCGAGACACAGTCGAGGATCTTCCTGGCGATCTCGAGGTATTGACCACCTCCATTGCGAAGGCCACAGACTGGGTTCTGCAGGCTGCGCACCACAATCCGCTCACCATCAATGGGGGCGATGCCTTCATGGCCCAGATGACGTCCTTCGTGAACGCCGTCATGGCCACTGACTTTAGTCGTATTCATGGACCAGGTGAACTCAACAACTTCTCGCTCGCCTCTCTCCTTGAGGCCGAGACATCTTCCAAGGACAAGCCGACCATTCACCCAGCTCCTGTTTTCAGGCCTCCTCCTCCTGCTGCCTGTGGGCCGCTCAACGAGGGTGTCGCTGGTGTAGGGGCCCCGCCCGACGTCCTCATGCAGGCACTGGACGACCTTGGTCACCTGGCCTCCCCTTCTCGCATCCCTGCTTCCAAGAAGCATAAGGGTGTCAATCGTCCGGTTCCACCTCCTCCGCAGAAGAAGAGCAAGGTGGCCTACTCACGCCCTGGTCTGCCTCTGCTGATCAACCGCGCTACCAAACCCAAGCCCCGTCCAACGATGTGGGCAGGGATCGCACGACAGGCCGCTCCGATGCTTCCCCCGCCTCCTGGCTTGGGACCGCAGCGTCATGGGCCTTCTCCTCCCCCTCCCGCATTCCCGATGGGCCCAATGAAGACTTCGCCTCATCGGTCCGTTCCTTCTTTCACTTCCAAGGGCCCCACCCGGAAGCAAGTTCTCGTGTCGTTCGGGGGTACCCCTCCCGACCTCACGAAATTCTTCACCAAGTCAGCTGTTTGCACAGCCAACGGATATCTCAGGGATGGGCGATCTATGTTAAAGGTCACCTCCATCGTCTGCGCCTACGACGGCTTGTTGTTGGTCACCCCTGCTGTTGCCAGCCCGTCCAACCTGGACATACTGCGCAACTTCATCCGTGAAAGCCTCCTGATGGGTACCCCGTTTGAGGTCGCACTTCCATCGTCGACATCTTTTATAAAGATACTCGATGTTCCTTACTTCGATCTGAAAGGGTTGAAGATCACCCAGGAGGCACTTGAAAAGGCCCTCCGTACCTCGGTTCATGCTGAGGTCTTCGCTTATCTGAGCACCAAGCCTCGGATCGACCGCAACTCAGCACACTCCACATCGTGCACCGTCTACTGCAACATTTGGGACTCCCAGCAGGGAACCCACGCCAAGAAGGCCTTAGGCCAACCAATCTTCCTCGCTGGGTGGTCCTGCGCAATCAGGCCTGCCGCACGACACACCGGGGTTCCGCTATGCCAGCGCTGCTGGAAGTGGGGCCACCCCACCATCGCCTGCAAGGCGAAACAACTCTCTTGCCCTATCTGTTCGGGCCCACACGAGCAGAAGGAGCACCGCCAACATGTGGGATGTTGCAAGGGCAATGCGAAAGTGAAACCCCCTGTGCCGCCCACCCCTCGTGACCAGCCCTGCCCCCATAAGGGCCACTGCATCAATTGCCATAAGGACCATGCTGCCAATTCGGCCTTGTGCAAGTTCTGGGCCCATTGCTACGACCGTGAGTGGATCATGGCCGAGTATCGTCAGGTACGTGAGCACCTTGCTCACCACCGACTTACTAACCCCCAAACCTAGACTAATGTTGGGAAACCATCAGGATCTAAGTAGTGGGCTTCGTATTTACTGTCAGAACGTTCGTCATACCTATGCACACATAGACACCCTTCTCAAAATTTGTAAAAACAGATTTGATATTCTATTTTTCCAAGAAACACCTTGGAATTTCATAAGACATGTACCATCTACCACTAGTATGGAGGGTGATGAGGTTATCGGCGCACCAAAGCATCCCGACTGGCTGCAAATGGTGCGCATTAAGGAAGGGGAAGTTCCCCATGTGATCGCCTACGTTTCAACTAGGCTCTCCTGCTATCGTCCTGCTATGCGTTGCGACATTGTCAACCATCACGACATCGTTGTCCTCTCCCTCTTTAGCGGGGGCGAGGTTCTTAATTTAATGAATGTCTATTCTGACGATCAGCATACAGCCATCGAGCACCTCGCTGCTCGTGTGCATTCTCTACCACCTTTCATCTATATGGCTGGTGACTTCAACTGTGTGTCGACGACTTGGGATGACTATGAGCATGGCGAGTCGTCGACGGCAATATCCCTGCGGGACTCTGCATCTCAGATCGGCCTCGAGTGGGCACGACCTTCCAACCATGGACCGACGAGGATCAGTCCTAATCCAAACCAGAGATCCAATGTGTTGGATCTTGTATTCTTAGCTCCATCTGAGATTCTAATCTCGATGCCCAGATTGGAGCACGATCTCCAGGGTCCATCAGATCATGTCCCGATCTGCACAGATCTTGATATCGGTCCTGAACTGCCCGGATCTGGGCAAAGGACAATTAAACCTGGAAGCGAGGCTGAAAAGTCTTTCATTTCAGATATTCTGCGGGATCTTGCGGCTATTCCTGTCGCAGCCCCGGCAACCAAGGAAGGCGTTGAAGCTTTAGCTGATGCTATCGCAACAGTGTTCTCAGACACCTGGCTTGCCCATTCGACTGAGTCCAAACCTACCAAGCGCTCCAAGTCCTGGTGGACGGACGAGTGCTTGAAGACATTCAGAGTATATCAGTTGAGCCATTCGCTCGCTGATTACAACAAGTTTAAGAAGGCGTGTAAGAATGCCAAGCGTGATTTCTTTGATGAACGCATCGCAGAAATCACTACCTCTCGCAAGCGCCCATGGGACCTGATGGAGTGGGTCAAACAGTGCAAGCTACCACCCTGTGAGGCTATTCGCAATGGCGACCAGCCTTGCCATGATATGGACGACCTCTGGGACGCCCTCCACGGCACGTACAACTCGGCCTCTGGCCGCGAGTATGATGCCTCAGTCTTAGATGAGCTTCCCGACCAGCTGGTCCGTGAGTGGGCTGACTTCTCAGAGCATGAGTTGTTGAGTGCTCTTAGGGGGTGCTCCAACTCCTCTGCGCCAGGACCAGACCACATTACATGGGTCCACCTAAAGGAGCTGCTCAAGGATAAACACGTCCTTGCGCTCTTTATCGTGCTGGCTAACGCCTGCCTTCGGGTGGGTCATTGGCCATGTATATTCAAGGAGTCGCTATTGGTTATCGTTCCGAAACCGAATAAGCCCTCCTATGCCGTACTGAAGGCCTTCAGGCCAATCGTACTCCTCATCACTTTCAGTAAACTTATCGAAAAGATGATTGCCAACAGGATACAGTTTGACGCCGTCAAGCATGATATCTTCCATCCCAACCAACTTGGCGGTATCCGCCAGAGGTCCACTGAGGATGCTGGATTGATTCTGACTCATCTCATGCGAGCGGGGTGGGTTAAGGGTCTCCAGACTAGCGCGCTGGCTTTTGACATTGCGCAGTTCTTCCCTTCTATCAACCATGGGATGTTCATGGCTGTACTTCGCAAGCAAGGGTTCTCGCCAGTTTTGGTGGAGTTCTTTGCCTCTTATCTTGTTGGTTGTTCCACAGTCTACTGTTGGAACACCTTCCAATCTGACTCGCGGTCTGCGGATGTGGGTGTCAGGCAGGGCTCAGCCCTTTCACCTGTTATCTCTGGGCTATTCATCGCTCCGGTGATGAAGCTCTTCTATATCAAAGCGGAGCCGCTCAACACAACGCTGCTTTCCTTTGTGGATGACGGGACCATTCTGGCCCAATCCAAACAACTCAATGATAATAATGTGGGCCTGCGTAAGGCCTACAAAATTATCTACCTTCTCTTTGTTGCCTTTGCACTCGTTCTTGAACACGACAAGACCGAGCTGTTCCACTTTTCGTGTCGACGAGACACCTACAATCCCTCGCTGGATTTGGGGTACGCCCCACACACCGGCACTACACTNNNNGGAGGTACTTGGGCTTCTACTTTGACCACGGGCTCACATTCCATGAGCACGTCTGCTACTATGCCACCAAGGCGTTCACCACTGTGCAGGCCATGCGCATGCTCAGGAACTCTACCAGAGGTCTCTCGCCTAAACAGCGCCACCTCTTATATCAGTTGTGTGTGATTCCTATTGCCACATACAGCTATCGTCTCTGGTATTTTGACGGTGCCCATAATAAAGGCGTGATGAACCAGTTAAAACGGATGCAGCGAAAAGCTGCTCTATGGATTACGGGTGCTTTCCGCACCTCCCCTACAGGCGGTCTTGAGGCCTTGGCAGGTCTCATTCCTGTCCACCTTATGCTGAAGAAGCTGGCAATGCGTGCAGTGTATCGCGTAGCCACCCTCTCAGACACCCACCCTCTTCGCTCTATGATGGGCGAGGAACTCCTTAAGTGAGCTGCACCACATGCTCGCTCAGCCGCCTTGATGACCCCAGCCATGCAAGGGAAAGTCAAGAGCACCGTCATGGAGGTGGACGAGCGCGTCCACACCTTAACTGAGAGGAGTCGAG